GTAGATCTTTCGAAAGTAACTTTATTTCAAAAGGCTTTAAATTTCGAAAAATTGAATGAATTTTATAGCTATAAAATTCAATATTAAGTTTAGATTTTCATTCAATATTTGTGCAAATTTTACTTCTTAATGTTTATAAACAACGGAGATATAATTAACAAAAAAATTGTCGCTAACTTCGTTCCTATTGTTCATAGAAGGTTAATTTTTTTTGTTAAATGTGAGTTTTTTTACCAGCTACACAATGGTTGTACGTACAAGTATGTAGCTTGAAAAATAAAGAAGTTATTACAATTGTTTATAAGTAAAAAACATACCCCTTTTTCAAACGTTTATTTTGTAAATAATTTCGATGAAAACTCAATATGCATTTAACTTCTGAAATAGTATAAGTCTTAAAGAATCCTATGAAATTTTTTAAATGTGTCTAGTGTCATTCATAGGGCAAGCTCAATGGTTTAAATAATTAGTCCCAGGGATAAACAAATTGAATAACTTTTAAACTATTTGACCGATCGGGGTGAAATTTCGCACAAATTTAAAGGACGGTAATTCCTCCATGTTAAAATGTATTAATAACATTTTATTTTGTTAATAAAAAAATTAATTAAATTTATAAATTAGTGCAAAAAAACTGCTTTCTGACAAATATCTCCGCAAATTATAAATCAATTTTAATTGAAAAAACGGGAAAATAAAGATATTCTTGATATAAAAAAATGGTATAAATATTGTTTATTTAAATTATAAGGGAAAAAACTTATAGATAAAAAATCAAATTTTGACCATAAATTGTTGTTTAAAAAAAACGCAACGCAAAACTAGGAGTATCTTTTTATCTATTCGTCATCTAGTAACCCCCACCTATGTCTTAAAAGCTTCAAATATCTGCGAAACATTTTGCCGTGAAATCGATGATTTTTGTATAACCAGACTGGGCTAATAACACTATACTACACAAAGACAAACAGTTTAAAATTATTTAAAATAGGCGAAGCTACATTATGGTCGACAACAGAAGAGATAATCATTCAGTCAGTGTTTTTTAATTTTATTACACATTTCTGAAAACTGCTTTTTTAAAGGGATTTTTTTTTCATAAACTGGTTGAAATGCATTATGTTTTAAATGGCTATTAATATGGTATATTTTCGAGTCAAAAAATTGCTCATATTCACAAATCCATAAAGCGTACAAGGCATCTGATAAGGATATTATTATTCGAACAATATAGAAATATACAATGTGAAGTGTGTTAACTAACAGATAAATCTTTGAAATTCACTCGTATATTCAACCTGCATAATATAAGTTGCGAACATAATGTGTTTCATATCCTCTTATGATTTATGCGGGCTCATTAGACGTAAACTAATTAATGTAAGTAGGTATCGACCATGTAGTAATGCTAAAATTAGCATATTATAGGTACAGGACGTATAAAAAAATCAATGGATGAATAGACACCATAAATATCGAGTATTGGTAATTTATAAGTCTACCAGTGCGTTTTATATAATATCATCGGTCATTTACTGTCATGACAAAGAAAAACTACGTGGTTTAGGGCAGAACAGCAAGAGGAATGTTTTTAACCAGAGATCATTACTTCTGACCAATCTTGTTTTTTATTTAGCCTTTAGATTAACTTCGCCACTAACTTTGGTTATTAGCTTATTAATCGTATTAACTTTGGGTATTACCATACTTATAACTATTTATAGATAATAAGTTAAACTTGTAATCAATATCCTGATATAGCAGACAACAATTATGGTAAAATTTAGTCACGATGATTTTAAAACTAAGAGTTGCCGACGCTAGACTGTCTGAATTAAAAAACAATAACTGGATAAATACTTAGTTAGCAATATGGTCAAGGCGAAAAGCTCGGGTTCGTTCTGAAAAATATTACCACAAGTTTTTTTGCATAATCACTTTCCTGAGTTATCTCAGAGGTCGCCAGGCGAAAAGTTGTTCAAAAGCCTTCACGTTTTGAAGGCATTGAAACTCTGTTTCAATTCCTTGTGTGAAATAAAATCATATCTACCCAGGTTGAAAGTTAAGTCACCTGGATAACTCCTCGATAGTCGGAAAAGGCAACACTATTTATTATAAAATCTAATCAAAGCCCCGAAATATTTTGATAAAAGGTGACGGTTAGTGTAATCGAAAGTGTAAAGAGTGTTTTTTTATAGGTGGGTATAGAAATGTAAGCTAGTGACAATTTTTTACCTGTCGGCCATTTTGACAGCTGTCAAGTGATTTATGTTATGTTTGGTTTCTCACTTCAGCATGAATAGACTTGGCGCCTGAACAAAGCTTCCAAATTGTACAAATTTATTTTGTAAATTATGGTTCTGTTCGAAGTATGTATTGCGCACTACGTCCATTTTATGGTCAACATAATAGTCCATTAGAGCAAGTAATTCGAATAACCATGAAACGTTTTTGTACCACGTTAACACTAAATGATAATATGCATCCACAGACACGTCGTACAGTACGTACAGAAATAGGTGTTGCTGCTGTATAGCGTAGCATATAGGAAGAGCCGAAGCCGTCTATCGTGCACAGCAGTTAGAAATGTGTTTATCGACTTTATCGAAGATTTTGCGGAAAGACTTGCTTTGCGTGCTTACAAAATCCAACTCACCCAAGAACTGAAGGTACGCCATCACCTAGCAAGGCGTAGATTCGGTGAGTGGGTCCAAAACGAGATTGCCATTGATTCCGATTTTCATAAGCAAAGTTTGTTTAGCGATGAAGCTCACTTTTGATTGAATAGCTACGTCAAAAAACAAAACTTCCCTACTTGGAGTTAAGATAATCGTCAAATGTATGTTGAGAGACCATTACATCCAGAAAAACTGACTGTTTGGAGTGCATGTCAATGATGGCCGCTATAGAGCCATGATTACTGTCTTTTACATTCCCCAATTTAACAACCATGATGTGCAGGAGCTGTCGTTTTAACAAGACGGCGCAACATGTCACACAGCTCCTGCCACAATTGATTTGTTAAAGGAAACGTTTGGTAACCGTTGGCAGAAATCATATTTAAATTATAATGCCAGAAGATTATCTTTCGAATAAAGTCAATTTCATGTCAATTTATAAAAATTATCTTTGTTTTATTTAATTTCAAAGTTATATACCTCTAAAAAACACCCTTTAGTCTTTAGATAATCTTGAGGGACACAAACAGGTGGTGATTAAGAGTCGGAAACGTGGTAGAACGTTTTAAACTTAAGGCTGTTTTAGCAGTTCAAGCACACTGCGATTTGAAATGGGCGTATCACTTACATTTCTACACTGCTTACGCGAGACTATCTTTACTCAGTGGCGTCGGCCAACGGGCAACAAATGCATTACTCTCCATTCAAATTAATTGTAACACGAACTAACTTACCGTACGCTCATGAGATTTGACATCACGAAGGCGATAACGGTGAATCTAAGCGACAATGATGAGTAAAGCTGGATTTTCACAGATCCGATATCCGATGACACGAAATACGAAATTTTTTCGTACGAATATATTTGATTGTCGTATCCGAAATTTTTTGACGTATATGTCATATGTGTGATTATTGGATCGATTGATATTTATTTCAATGAACTATCAATAAATGTTAGGTGTTTTGTTTGATAAAATATATATTATATTGAGCTACTTTGTCGTCGTTTTTGCCTCACATAGTGTAGAAGACACAAAAGCAACACTTTATTCATTGCATTTTTATATAATAATTAGGTCTTTGTTCCATTGTAAATATATTTCAAATAGTAAACATAAACACTCCACAAAAGTAAGGTTAAAGTTCAAGTCAAAATGTCAACAATGTAAAAATTCATCCGATTTTCGTGCAAAAGTTAAAATATTTTTAACTTCTTCCGATGACTTTTAATTTCGTACGAAAATCTCACCTGTCATTTTTCAACCAATGAAATTCGCTGAAATTTATATCGTATCATCGTACCGTCGGATATCGGACCTGTGAAAATCCACTTTAACACGTTTCACTATTAGATTTTAGTATTTTTTAGCAATTTTCTTCAAAGTTGGAACACGCTTTTCTCGATTATTACTGGACACAGAAAGGTGAAAAAACAAATCAACGATTACAGAAAAAAAAACTCTTTCAAGTGATGGGCGTAAAAAGTTTAGTTATAATAGAATGTTAAACAGTATAACCCAATTTTTCAACAGAAGTTTAAAAAAAAATAAAAACTTAAAACCATCATTTTAAAAGCAACATAGTTTCGAATATTGTGTCCAAATTTCGAGACATTTTGTCGGTAAATAACAATTCCTAGGTTTTGGTGCACCAGTAAAACAGCCTTAAGATATATTCTAATTTTTGTTCTTAAATACCCTAATATTTATTTTAAATCTATTGTAAAGGAATATTTTTCATTTATCTTTTTAGTTTTGTTTTATTCTCTAATATTGTATGTTTTTGTAAATATTTTGCTTCGAATAACCAAGAAAAAATTATTTTAATGACAGGACGCAATCATTAATATAAAGAATAAAAACGGTAAATAATGTAGAGAAAAATCACAAAAATACGATAAAATAGAAATGGAATTTTCCAAGCATCAACTTACAATAACTTTCACTGCAGATTAAAAATGTGGTAATATTAAAGTATTGTCCGTGATATTATGGATGATCAGTGGGTTTGGGAAAATTCTAACATTTAAATTAGAATTCAGAAAGTCGTATACAATATTGAAAGTTGTATTTAGAGTTTGACAGTACTTGGCTTTACACATCTAATGTGATATAATGTAACATTGAAAATGCACAACACTTGGGACGTGATGAGTAAAATGCATGTTTTTTGTACAGCCAAAAATTAGAAAATATTGTCTTAATATAATATAATCTCACTGTGTATTCGAATTTTGCCAAAAAAATATGGGCGTTAAAAACAAACTAACTGATTAAAAAAATAATATAACTAAGCGAATATTTAAAAGTTTAGACTTACATTTTTTGATTAAATAATAGCTCCCTGTGAAGATTTTGTCGTTCAATGTTTTCCTTGACAGGATTTGGAAGTTTTTTGGGTATAATCATTCCGCCTTCGTTTAATATAGGTTCAGAAGTTCGATCTGAATCGGGAATCATTGTGGATAGCTTTTCAAATTTTCTTAGTTTTACTGTAAATAAGAAAAATAATTAAAATAAAATTAAAAATTGAATAAAAAAAATTAAGTAAAAATATAATGTCATAATTTTGAATTTAGAAGAATAAAATAGTGTTGCGTTGTTCTGTGTGTTCAGAGATTAAATGATACACAACGCGGTTTAACTAACTTTATTTAACTCAAAAACTCAATTAATTACAAATATCACAATTACTAAACATCTATTGATATCATGCTAAAATAAGTAATTCAATTTATAAACGTGTTTTTTTTAAGAAAGGCCATAGTCGGATAAGAATGTCAAAATTGTCCCAGGAGAAACTTGACTCCAAATTAGTATTGTTCGGCATCATAAAAGATGAAGATTCAGTTTATCGATCAGAAATAGAATAAAGAGTTTTTTATTATTTTAATATACCGCGGGCATATAAGTTAAAATACAACCCTGTACTTATTTGTAATAGTTAGAATAAGAGAAAACATTGTTCCGTGACGGGACCCTAACGAGTTTTTCCGTGAAAGACTGAGTGAATAGTGAAAGGACAATGGAACCCGTATAATTATAGATTTAGGAATAAACTTGTAATTGTATTTTGCGGTGGGCATTTTTCGAAAGTAAATAAGAATTAGATTTAGATAAGAGATAACAAGAATTTGGAAACTTATTTCTGTTGAAAAAGGCAAAATTGTTAATGGTTTCTGAAAAGTAATTTGAGTGAAAGTAGTTTATTTGTTTTAAATATCATGTTGGAAATTTTCTAAATCGAAAATAAGTGGGAAAGATGAATGCTTATGATTGGTTAAAAAAGAATGGTGGGAATGAGAGAGTTGAGAAGGTTGTCTGGGAGAGATTGAAAGATTATTATGTTACCGGCAGACCAGAAGAGAAGACGTGTTTTCGTGTAGTCAATCTGAGTACCAGTGTTTTCGTTTGTTAGTGAAAAAGGTGGAAGCTGAGAGCAGATCAAAATCGAGAAGATTAATACCTCTTTTGAGTCTGCATAGTCCACGAGATATAATTGAGAAAGAAAGGAGAATTTGTGAATAAAGAGTACCGGTCAAAAGAGGCTTGGGCTTGTGTTTTCGGAGGAGTAGTTTGCTGGTATGCGGTTTGGATCGATGCTGAGAACGGGAAAGATTTGATGGTAGCCGGACATAATCAATCAAGGAAGGAACTGTGGTTTGATCGAGAGGAGACATCATTGGTGTAAAAATAAAGGTCAGTCAAATAATTTGAATGAAAGAAAATTTTAAGATATTCTAAAGATAAAATCAAATATAAGCATACGAACTAAGATTCCAAGTTTCAAAGAGTTATTTTTTTTGTGAATAAATTATATTTTTATATGGTCATTTTTTTTAGTAGATATTATTATAAAACAGATCAATAGATAGTTTGTAATTAAAATTAAATTTAGAGTATAGGAGTTTGTTGGGAAAGATAATTGCCCACAAAAGTTATTTATTAATATTCATCGTATTGCTTATTGAAAATAAATAATAATTTGTGTGCATATTTATGTTGTTTTAATGTTAGTTCCGTTTCCTGTTCTATCCCGATTATGAGCAACTAGGAGATACTGAACCCACTAGAAGAGATATATAAAGTAAACTGATTAAAGTAATAATTAACAAAAAAAGGCACCCTGAGAATTTTTAATAGTAATTGAATTGTATGACTCTGCATAAATTAGTGAATTAATTAATTAAATAATTGGATTAATTAAATTAGTGTTAATTAATAATAAAACATCATAAAGCAGATCACAACAATATATATATATATATATATATATATATATATATATATATATATATATATATATATATATATATATATATATATATATATATATATAATGTATGATCACCAAAACTATGTTATAACTTTTTTTCTTTTTTTTCAGGGACCTTACGTTGGACTCTAGATTTTTCCCTGTGAACCACTTGAGCTAAGCAATATGAATCAAAAATAGATATTTTTTTTGCTTTTTTAATGGTTTAAAGTATGAAACATATTTTATCGTATGGGGATTATCATTTCCACTCATGATAAATGTCAGAAATCAATTTGAGAAAAAATATTTTCGATTTTCGAAGTCTTTTAGTTCCGAGGCAGCAGTATTCAGTACTCAAAATAACTCAAAAATTAAATTTTATTTTTTTAGCGTTGATGAACTATCTGAAAGGTATTCAAAATAATGAATTAAAAACTAAAGTTGACAAAATATATAAATATTAATAAATATAAAGTTATACAGGTTATATATTAATTTATATAAAGTTAACAAAATATTAAACATGTTCAATATCAATACAGTTATTTATAAGATTTGATACATTTATTACTTTCATTTTCTCTACTTTTTCATGTCAGTGCGTTATTGATAGCAATGCCTTCGTAACCATAATATAATCAAATAAAAGTATTCGTTTTTATTTTTTATACATTTTTATCTGTTACGATTTTCTAAAATGAATTATTAATTTAAAACAAATGCAAACAGTAGCACAATAAATTATTAGAACTATGACCACGATGCCAAGACGAAGCAGAACATTGTAAACACTTTATTTATTTGTATTTATTGTTACCAGCAATTTAAAATATAAATAAAACAAGAAAATAAAATCAGTTTTTCATAAGGCTATATCACCCTTTATTTCAGCAATTTTTTATTTATGTTCCAATGTTTAGAGTTGATATTGATTGTTTTCATTTTTTTGTTTTTATTTGCTGTAATTAATTTGTCTTCATTATTTAATAAATTAAAATAAGAAATTGCATTGAATCAATAGTTTCTTTTTGTTTTTTATTTAGATGAGACAATTCAATTTTTTAAAATCTTTTCTTTAAGATCTTTATTTCAGGCATATTTATTAATTTAATGGTTTAACGAGGAGGTGACTATCCTTCTGACTCTTTACCTTTTTGTAGTATAACATTGAATTAAAAATAGAAAGCCAATGGCATTAAATGTAAATTTTTTAACTTCTTTTAATATTCGTTTATAAGAAACAACAATTTTGATAATGTTTAAAGCTTATTTTATCTCAATCAGATGCAGTGCATCAGACTACCGATTAAAAATCAAAGAATTTACGAGCATAAGAAATGATCAGAGGACGAAACTAACAGAACGTAATCGTAAAAATAATTTAACCTGTCTGGTTTCACTAAGCGCTAAGTGTCAAATAAAATACCAACAATTATTAAATAAACTATTAAATACAAACAGTAAGCGGTGGTATGGAACGCGATCAGATTGTTGGTTGGGTTAATTATTAGTCTTGACCTTACTTTGACATAAATTTATTGTGGAAAAAAATTGTTCATATTTTGATTTAACTGAAAATGAATAATTATAGCGTTTCTGAAATGATTTGTATACATGTACTCATAAGAATTATAACTATGGAAAGAACGATTGTAGATATAGTGTAAGTCAATTTATATAGTGTTTTTATGTTAGTTATGCAAGTTATGCACGTAATAAACATTTTCGCTGCAAGAATTACACAGCCAATTTGGTTAACCAGAATAAACGGACGATTTATTTGACGTCTATTGGCGAAACAAGTATAATCATAGTCAAATACAATAAATTTTGGTTCTTAAATAACTGTCTTCCAAAGTGAATTATGTTTAAGTTCAATATTGTTAATTTTTATTAATGACTTTTTTTATATAAAAACTGTTAAAAAAGGCAATACACAATATAGTGAAAGTTTAAGGTTTTTATGGACTTTTACAAAAGCTTGTAAATCAAAATATAGTTCGCCAAACAAAGAGCTATCGCAAGTAACAAAGTACATTTTCTTTCCAATAAGTTTAATTTACACAGAAATTAAAACAAAAAAGATTACGCTGCATACATGATTCGACATTCAACACAATGAATTTTAACGTAGACCTCCCTCTCTTCACGTAAGATTATTAAGTTTATAATACTTACTCTCTTACTATTATAGTTTTACAAGCAAATACGATTTTCCACTGCCAATTTTATCATTTTCTTAAATAACTTTTAATGCTGACTCCTTACATTATCCGTAATCTATATTTCTATATGTGTTACAATTTTGGCTGCACTAGTTTTCAGGACGGACCAACAGACACACTAAAGTAAAAGATCGACATTTTGAAAATACTTATATCGATCCAATTATTTTGAATGAGCAGCGCTCGTATATTTTATTAATAATTGCCTTGGTTTTTTGTCTGATCCATTCTATTCTTTTTCGACCCCTCTTTGTTATACTCTCTCCATTTTTGGCCAATTTATTGCTAGCTGCATTTAGATCTCATATAAGTTCTTGTAGTTCTGCAGGATTATTAGCAATCAGAACGATGTCTTCTGCGAATCTTAGATGGCTGAGGTATTCTCCATCAATGGATATTCCTTTGTTCTGCCAGTTCAATTTGCATATTTTCTAGAGTTGCAGTGAAGAACCTTTGGTGATATTGCGTCTCTTTGTCGGACGCCTCTGGTAGTGGGAAATTCTGGGGTGTTATCATACATTTTTACCTTAGCTTTTGCTTGTCTGTATATTTGCTAAAATTTGCTAAAATTTCTATATACGGTTTGTCAATGCCTTGGTTGGTCAAAGCATTACTGCCTTGGGATATATAGAATCGAAAGCCTTCTCGAAATCTATGAAGGTTAATGGTATTTCATATTCTCTACACTCTGGTTCTCTAAGTGTATGAATATGATCTATGATACTGAATCCATTTCTGAAGCTAGCTTGTTCTCTCATCTGTGCAGCATCTAATGCGTTTGTTAATCTGTTGTTAATAATCTTTGTGAATACCTGTAGTTCTGTAGTTTTTGATATCCTCTTTGCTACCTTTCTTATGAATGAGAATTATGTTTGCCATATTCCAGTGGTCTGGTATGCATCTCGATCTTAGGCAAAAGATCGTAGATATGCCTGCTAAGATTTTCCAGGTTTTATTACCAGCGTATTTAAACAGCTCCACTGTTATACCATCTATTCCAGCTACTTTA